GTCCAGTGAATGAAAGGCACAATTGGCATCAATCGCAAACAATCTGTGCTTCGCTGACGACCAGAGCTGTTCAAAAAGGGGATTGATGGCATGGCTAGAATTAAAAGGGGCTAATGAAAAATGGCTCGTCAAAAGAAAATTGCGAGCATTTATAACCTCTGCCTCCGCCTTATTGATAATATGGAAGCGGTCAATCGAGTTCCTTGAATAGCAAGGAGGAACAAGCCAGGTTTGGCCGAAACCAAGTTGGCGAGAAAAAAATTGGGGAGCATATATTTCTACCCCTGCCTTGGCATTGGTCCCAGTCAAAATATCATGAAATAACTCCTCCCGGTCAAAAACTGGATCCAAATGAGCAGAGAGGTGCTTGCGCTGTCTATAGTAGAGGGAGGATGCACATAGTCTGGAGTCAAAAAGGGAGGAAAAGGAAAGAATGAAGGGATTGAATCCAAAGAATAAAAGAATGAAAAATGTCCCTTCTAGACATATTTACAGGAGCCAGGGGCTCAATGGCTAGCCCATAACAGCTAGCAGAAGGACGAGAAATTGATGGAGCACCAAGCAATGGAAAATAGGATCTCAACCACATTCGAGTGAACCAAAGAGGTCCACTGCCAGTGGGAGATGCACCATTTTTCACTTAAGTTTGAAGAGAAGTCATGCCTCTATAGAGGGCAGCCAAAAAGAAAGAATATAAATTCAGAGGCCTGCCACGCGCTAATTCGTGCGCTATGGGTAAATAGCTCAGGGAGGGCTTTATGCTTGGCAAACAGAAAACATATTTACAAAGCCAAACCAAAAGAAAGGCCACTCGCTCAGTATGGGAAGACTCAACTCTCAAATGGTTATGAAGGGTTTGCAGGCTTGAATAAGACTCGGTGTAATTTCTACCAAACTTTGGGGCGCCACCAGAAACCAAGATACCAGGAAAAATGGTATCGCCCAAAAGTGATAGATTCACTAGGGCCCCAATATCCTTAAAGTAATAGACATGGGGTCAAGAGGAAAAACAAAGGTATTATATTCAGAAGACCAAAAATTTAGAGCGATCGAAAAAAGTGCTGAATTAAAAGTAGGGGGTTGAATAGAGATTTCTAACAAATCAGAAATCCTAGCATTATCAAAAAGTGCCTTAGTAGGACCATGGTCCACAAAGAGAGCATGCCACCTACGGAAAACTACGTCAGTTTTGGGCCAAGTGCGAATACCTCTTTCACGAAGTGGCCCCAGCAGCAGAGAGTTTAGAAATGGAGGGCCTTGAGTACAAGGAAACAGCTGGCCTACTGCCGCTTGTTCGACTGCCTCTGCATTGTTGAAGAAAGGGCCTAGGTAGAACTCATTGAGTTCGACATTGGCGGATGCGAGAAAGTTTGGAGTTATGTATAGTTTTTGAAAGTCTTCAAAACTAAAGAAGTCGCCAGATTGAGATTGTGAAGGAGCCATTAGGGACAAAACGAAGTTTTTCAGAGTTACGTAGTAGGGAAGCAAAGAGATGAACAGTAAATTGTGGGAGAGAAACGCGAAAAAGTGAGGCGTGATTTAATGGTGCAGTGAAATGGCGTATTTGAGGGTTATAAGGGTTTGCAAAACGTCGCACCTTTTCAAAGCTATGGAAGAAAACAATGATTGAAATTTTTGGAAATCTCGAATGTTGCTGGAAACACAAAAGTGAATATGGAAAAATTTAATAATTGGTATTAATTCTGCCATATTGGGGGGTAATTGTTGACACATAAAAATTCAGCCCAAAGCGAACGGCCCAAGGAATGAAACCCAATGGGAGGATCCACAAATCAGAGAGCCCAAAGAATGAAACCCAATCAGACAATTCAGGATGAAGGCCCAAATAGGAAAGCCCAGGGGCGCGGTAACACCATCGCCCAAGCTTGCAATTCGCCCAGGATCTGAGCGAATAGAGTGCCATGCAGTCGCCCAAAATTGCTACTCTATTCTCGTCCAAACCTGTTATTAAAATAGTTATTAAGCAGCCCTATCACGTTCCACGATTCAAGGAATTCAATCGAAAACGGTTGAACGACGAAGAGTAATGGCAGCAGTTAAAAAAGGCAGTTCCATGACAAGTTGGCCATTACGAGGAAAGTGGGCAGTTGTAGAACGATCAAACAGTTTTTAGGCGGTTGATCACAAAGCGATCATTCAGGGAGTATAAAAGGAAGAAAAGACATAGATCCAATAAAGACCCCGAATCAAGAACTCTCGAACAGAGAACATGTAATTTTAAATTCCTTAGTTTAGATTTAAACACTTCTTTCAATAACTCGTGTGCTTGCGCCCCTGGAGGCATTCTGTTTTTAATTTTCGATTGTAAAGTCACCGTCAATAAAGAACACCCCCTTTTTGGGACTTTGTCTCAAGAGGTTTGTCCCTTACACAATCGTCTGTTCCCTTTTAATTGTTAGCGACTAACACGCGCGAAACACCTACTGAACATGTGCTTAATAAATCTTATTTGATCCTTGAATGAGGCATGCTAGAATCTATAAATTTAATTATAAATAATGCTTATATTCTTAAACTCCTAAAACGAATTGAGAAAAAAATACTAATAAGATACATAGCTATATAGAATAAAAAAATTGCAATCTACATCTCGAACTAACTCTGAATAAAAAAAGGAGAATTTATATTTCAAAATAGAGCCACGAACTCAAGATAATTAAAAAATCATTTAAGTTTGTGAACAGGGCATGAAAGTAAAAAGTTTGAATTGTAAAGAATGAGAGCTTTGATTCATCAATTTAGAGTGTGTTTGATAGGGCGGAAATGGAATTGGAAGATGGAATTGAAATTGTATTTTCCAACTTTGTGTGTTTGATACATTTTTTTCTTCCATGGAATTCGAATTCCTGATTGTCTTGAAATTTGGACTTTTCTTGGCTTTTAAGGAAAACCAATTTCTCACCATATATGGTGGGAAATTGGTTTTCCTACGATTTTTTTTTTTCGTTTTTGTAACAATGGAAATAAATTCTAAAAATTATTGTAAAAAAATTTCCTTTTAAATGACAATTTTCATGTAAAACAAAACTAAACGAACATCGAAAGATAAATGATTTTCTTGAATTTTTTTTTTTGGCAACGGAAATAAATTTAATCCCCAATACTAGTAAAATCCATCCCTTTAATTAACAATTTTCATGTAAAACAAAATCAAATGTACACCAAAAAATATTTTTATTTCAACATTTTTCACGTGGGAAATTATATCAATCAAACACAATAATTTACAATTCTCCGGAAAACAATTCTAAGTAATTCAATTTCCTGGAATTCGTTTTCTAGGCAATTCAATTCCATCTTTGCAATCAAACGGACCCTTACATCACAACCTAACTTGAATTTTTCGATTCATAAAAAGCCCAAATTACAAAGACTAACTATACTAACATCTGAAATGAAACAATATGATGCGAGGCGAGAGGCAAAAAATAGGAACTAGTCTTGATTTCTTAGGATTAGAGTATAGAGTTTTAGACTAATTACTACCCAAATTAGAATGCTTATTTGTACCTTTTTTTATCCACCTTATCAACTGTAAATAAAAAAATTATATAACAAATCGGTTCCATTCCGATATCCTTGGTTTTGGTTTAGGAACCTCGAACTGAATTGAACTGAACTAAAACCTGTTGGTTATCGATTATCGGTTTCAATTCCTATTTTATTTTAATGAAAAACGGATTGCAAGCTCCAATTTCGGTTCGGGAGTTTCGATCCCAATTAAAATGCCTAGGCCTAAGAATGCATGTTGGTTTTTGCAATGGCAAAAGTTGTTCCTCATATCCAATGTATTGTCTTCCCATGGCAATTTACTTAGCCCCAGTTTGACAATCATTATAGATTACTACCAAGAGTCTTCATTGCAACTTCTGGAGGCCAAATTCTGGATGCGTAGACAACTTAAAGCTAATAACTGTTGGATGAATGTCAATAGAAAAAGTACAGTGAGCATTCAAATTGACAACATAACTACAAAGTTCTCTTTGATTTATTAATTGTGCATGCTACACAATTGTTTGACTAATTAATGTTTTGTTTGTTGTATAAAATATAAAATTATAATTTTAGTTAAACTGTCATATGATACAATCTTTTAGTATAGAAATTGATTTGTAGGAAATTAGATCTATTAGGTATTTTAAGATAAATAAATAAGCATAATTAATGCAGATTTCAACTTGTCATAAAAGTAGCATTTAGAGCTTTTCAGATAGTTTTAGAAAGCCATTATTCTTTTTTTTCTTTTTGTCAATAAGCACTTCTTTAACTGCAACCAAACAACTACATAAGTGCTTTTAAAACCATCCCAAACACACTGAAACAGCTTTTAATCATATTATTAATTCACAGTTATGGAGAGATGTAACACTCTACTGTCCAAATTCAATAACTAACAATGAGCAGCTCTCAGCAAATCAAAAGCCTCAAAACTAAACTATATGAAGAATCGAATCACAAATCCTAAATGAATTACCTTTCTATTCTACCAACAGCAAAGACAAGACTGTATTGTATCAACCAGAACTTTATGCGACTCTTCCTGAATCATACATTTCTCCAGTAGACATTGTTCACTCCATGGTTAGAACCTAATAACTATTCACAGTCTAATCAATGTTGTGAAAGCCAGGGACAAGTGAAGCAATGAACCCGAAGAAGAAAATCTGGATCTCTTTTACAATTCTGAACCAGAGGTTGTCAGCCTCGCCTCCAGGTTCCACTACATGCTCGTTACCGACTGGCCTATCTCCATTGTTGACTTGATGATTTTCATTTTCGACTCCAGGTTGCCCGTCTGCAATGTCGAAGATTGATCATTCTTTTACTTTTACAGTTCAACTAAATGTATTCTACAAATATACTAAAACAAAATAATTGAAACACTCATGGAGAATTAGAGCGACGTGGGCATGCCTGCTTGTATGTAAGTACTTGTGTATGTATGAATGCATGTATTCCAAGTATATTCGGCCATAAAATCTCCAGTTTCAATGACACTGACAACGTATTAGTGACATCTACTTGCATATGGATTTATTATGCAAGCGTGCATAAGCAAATGTATGCAAAATGGTTTACTATGAGAATGGATAAATCAGTGTTCAGCTGGCTGCTCAACAGCTTTGGAGAATAGAAAAGTCAAAAAAACAAAAAAAAAAACACACTTAGATAAGATTAAATAACCATATTCAACCTAAAATATCAAGAAGAGTGCTATTTTTCAAATGACATTCAAGACTTCTCAAGCATTGTCAAGGCCTCTAACAAAAGTAACCAAGTAATTTCCACTTATCATGACAAGAAATCTTACCTTCTGCAGCAGCATTTTCGTTTTCTAGTCTCACAGCAGCATGAACATCCTCAGCCCTGAAAGGTGGTCTGAATTGTTGAGGAGCAGCTGCCCTCTGCATTCCTTGAGTAAGCAATCGTATTAATGGTGCAAGAGATCCCGTTTGATATCTGCATTACCCATGGGAATTACCTAAGCCTCATGAGACACACATAGATATGCGAGAATGCCAACAAGAATACCTTAAGGAATGAAAAGTTCAAAATCAAGGCATAGGAAAATAACCTGTTGAATGAATTTATACCAAGCACTTGGCCAGGTTAAGTAACAGAAAAGAAAGTACTCTAATCACTTACAGATAAATGAGGGAAGCTAAAAGTATGTGGAGAGCAAGCCGTTTCCTTGATCCATCTTTGTTGAACAAATAAATAACTACTGCCAGCTTTAACATGAGCATTAAATCAAGCTGAACTGCAATTTGAAATCTTCGCACAACATCTTGTATTTGGGGTCCAGCTTGCTGCTGTTGCTCGGCTGCTTGTCCTCGCTCGCCACCCACTGCCGTGGTCTCCAAAGCACTAGGTTCGCTAATGATACGACATGCATCAAAAGTACATAAAAAAAGATGTGAAAGAATGAACCTCTCTGTTAACCTAAATATTGGTTACCGTGGATCCAGAGTCAGTAGATTCAATTGTCAGAAGAATTTTGCTCCATTTCCATTTATACACAACATCTTGTATTTGGGGTCCAGCTTGCTGCTGTTGCTCGGCTGCTTGTCCTCGCTCGCCACCCACTGCCGTGGTCTCCAAAGCACTAGGTTCGCTAATGATACGACATGCATCAAAAGTACATAAAAAAAGATGTGAAAGAATGAACCTCTCTGTTAACCTAAATATTGGTTACCGTGGATCCAGAGTCAGTAGATTCAATTGTCAGAAGAATTTTGCTCCATTTCCATTTATACCAGACTAGAAACTTAAAAATTGGCTAGAGATAAAATGGCAGTGATAACAATACCAAATTATGTCAGATACTGAACAGGGTCATGCTGAAGTGCAGAAATACTTACGTAGGTATGTTGTAGGTAAAAGGAATAAGGGTGTTGGACGAATATCCTGGAAAAGGTTGCATAGAAGGAAGAGCACAAACAGCATAAAGACCAGGTCCATGAATCATTTGTTCCTCTTCCTGCTGAGGAGGGAATAGCCCTGGAACCAGTAGAGGATACACGGTTGGATACATCGGAATATTGCCATTTGGTGACTGTAAGACACCATGTGGTGGCACCTGCCAAACGGACTCAAGGGATTAGGGCACATCATAGGAATAAGAAAAATGTTCGTTGAAGACTTCGTTATCAGTCGGAAGTATTGTTTTGCTTTAACTAAGAATATTACAGGAGTTTTCCAGCATTAATGTACCAGTACCATTAGCAAGTAACTGTTTTGCTTCTTTTCCAGGGTCTAGTCACCAGTGGCTTAAGAACTCCCAAGTACAAACAAATTTTGACACTTAGGATATCCACAAACAAAGAGAGATTCATTAATAGCTTAATGTTCCACTTGAGAACTGCAAAATTGCATGTCTTAAGCATCTTAACTGCATCGTGCAGGACAAGAAGATTCAGTATTTGGAATGGTGATGGAGCTTTTGCAGAGTTTAGGATTAAATCTGAGCGTTACTAGTTTTCCTTGATAACGCTGCCAATATCATCTTATTTAGGATTTCCCATGTTTAACAAGCCTCAGATAGTATTTTTATTTGGACTATCAGAGAAGATTTAGACTCCAATGTTTGCAGTATCTTTAAGATTTTTAAAAATTTATAATTTGTTGTCCGATTGGATCCCCTGTCCTGATTAAATAAAGAAATCAAATTGGCAACAGCATCTTCATGCTTTGAAACTACTTGACTGTATTTCCAAAAACAGATGCTGCGCTAAAGTGAATTTGCCTAGCCTGCACATAGATATAGCATTTCTTTTTCTAAAAATACCTAAAATCTGTGTAATGATCAAGTTAAGACATTGAGGAAGAGTCAGATTTCTTCCCTTGAACATCATGAAGTTCTCTTCAGGGTCCAATAACCAGATCCTGACAGTTTAATATATCAACCCGCCAAAATAAAAATTTAGTTATTCAAAACTATATCCACAGCCCCAAAACAAGTCCTAAAGAGGCAATAACCATGCATAGATGTGAATGTTCAACTCCTTCATTCCGTAACTTTCAACATGTTCAGCCTTGCAACTGGTCTTAGGAATGAAAATCAAATAATTTATTAGAAGCTCAGCTTGACATTGATAGCTACAAGCCTACAAACTCCTTCCAAGATCCTTTGATATCTCAAAAATGAAACATGGAAAACATTTTAGCATCTATCTACTTATTAAACTTGGCACGACGAGTGAAGTAACATGACTTTAGACAGAAGAATATCAAATTACTCAAGCTTGAAGTCATGTTAATTAAACGTTGATTCATGATCAGTTCTTTCAAAAGTCAAATTAAGCACAGCCTATTGTTCAGCTTGACTAATCTGTTTTACATCCATAAAAAGCCCAAGCAGCCTTCTAAAATGCGTTCTATTGCTTATTTACAGTTTGTTTATAGTTCATCTTGCTTCAATGCACCAGCTACAAACATGAATGATGAATTCCTCCGGATTGAAGCGTCAAATATGTACAAAATAAAGATTTGGGCCTCTATTATAATTTTAGACAAGCTTGACAACCTTTACAAACACCTCTTTATGCACACTAAGGAGTTTTCCCAAATCCTCTGTAGTTCACCCACTAGAAAAATAACCAGAATCATCTTCTGTCAGTAGTTGTTTTCATGACATAACAGGAAGCCGAAATTCCAGCACATATGCCCAGAAAAAGAGCAATGTATAAAATTATTTTCTGTAAAAGTCAGATATTTTCTTTCTCCTTAGTGGTATTCCTATAAATCATACGAGTATGGTTTCAACACTTGTATAATTCCACTCAACAATGTAGTTGCATATAAGCATCTTGACAAACCAAAAAATATAAACCTCCCAGTGCAGGAATTATTCCTCTCTACTCTTCACCCAGATCAGCAAAACCAGAAATCTAGATTCCCATTGTATGACGTTCGACAAACACAAACACCACCATTGTTTAAAAAAGATTACACCTTGAATACTGCATCAAGTGTGGCAATCATAAACACATCAAAACACGCACCTTAAATGCCATTTGTGAGGCTTACTTCTCGATTTACTAAGGATCACTCCTCAAGCCAACTAAAATGTTCACCTGTTTGCTTTGCATTTCTTAAACAATTAATTATTTGCCTTAGCTTTTGGACCTAAAATGTTTTACAGGTTTTTTAATTTTCCTTTTTCTTATAAAAAATTTGGAAGGAGAATACAACATTGCAAGTGGAGAAGGATTACAGAGAACAAAAAAAATAAACTAAAAATTTAAACGAGGATAATGATTATGTTAATGATTCCCTTAAACATTATTACTTATAGTAATAGATTATAATTTTTTACGTGATTATTGATATGAAAACTTATTATCTTCTATTTTCTTGATCTATTTTATGTTAATTTGGAAGCTAGGCTTTTAATTTTCTTAATTAGTTCTAGATTATTTAAAAAGGATTTATGATTTATTATGAGCATATTTTTATATTTTTATATTCTTTCGAATTCTTTTATTGTTCTAGCATAAACACTGAATAACATGAATAAAAACTGTCTCCTGATTCCCATTGGTCATTCAAACTCCCTATTGCTTTACTTATCTAAAAAATTCAACTCTTTGAAATGACTTGAAAAGCCTATGCAATAAAACGAATAACATGATCCACAAAAATATTTAAATTTCTTATTTCCACAGATAAATAAGCAATCACGTGTATATTTCTTTCGAAAATACATATACCCAGATTCCATGCGAAAATCATTGCCGCACAATGTCAGCCATAAAAATTGCGCGAAGAACAAGATGAATAAAACAAAAACAAAGTATAACTAATTTGTAATTAGAATACTTTTGGCCCGTCAGTAGCTGTAGAGACACAGTTGGTTTAATCGAATATAATTTATAACTTTCTGCGTTGGAATACCTTCATAAGATTACACTGCATTGAAGATCAGTGGAATCTCTTTTACACACAAAAAAGTAATGGAAATTGTTTATTTATTTTTTAAAAATGAAAAAGATGGAGAAAATAAATTACCTGGGTGTTCTTATTAAGGAAGTCTTGAGATGAGGTTGAGGGATTGATTTCGAGAGGTTCCGCCATTGAAGCTTCTGGTTATCGATGGGGCTATGGAGATACAAAGAGTAATCTTTTTTCTGTTATATTTTCTATTTGGAGAGTTCTATTCTTATTCTACTTCTACAGAGACAGACGTGGAATTTTGTGGCACATCCAATAGCATCGCGCCACATGGGATTCCAAATTTGTCGGAAAAGCTACCCCACTACCAGCTTCTAGCTTAGTTCCGAATAAAATATTTGCAATTTTTCATTTTCAATTGAATAATGCTGTCAACTACTTAAGTCGAAGTGTCGTAACCATTATGTCATTGATTATGTCAATGATGAGGTATCACGTGATATTATGTCAAAAGTTTTGCTTAACGTCTCCTAAACTTCTAGAGGCGTCAGATATTATGTCAAGAGTTTTGCTTGATGTCCCCCCTAGAATTCTTGGCGTCCCCTATAGGTGGGGGACTTGTCATGTGGCCCTAGACAAGGGGTTTTGCCCTAATGTCAATTATTATGTCAATAATTATATCAATGTAACATGATTATATTGTTTAGCTCTTGGTTGATTTTTATTATTTTCAAAAAATATTTTTCTCTCTTATTTTCAAAATAATATTATACTCAAACCCAAAATTTTTTCTTTCTTTTCAACCACAGGTTCTTCACCAAAATACTATTTCAAAATGCATTACTTCTAAAAAAAGGGGGCTCAAACATGCTCTTAGTCTCATTGAAATGCTTCGCATATTTTATTATCATTATTTCAAAATTTTTTAACCCTCATACTCATTTTCAATTACACATTTACACACTAAGCTCCCATTTGGCCCTCAGACTCTTTCATTCTTTTTTCCTTTCTTTTATATTCAACTCCACAATTTTTCATAAAATAATATTATACATAAATCGAAAACTTTTCATTTTTTTTCAACCACACATTCTTTAAAAAAACACTATTCCAAAAATTAAAATTTGGAAACAAATGGGGGCCAAACAGGGGCGCAAACTCAATTTTTTCCTACTTTTTAATTACATATATTTTTTTAAAAAATCACTATTAAAATCTCATTTTTTTCAAAATAATGATTATCAAATAGGGGTTCAGATAAATCTTATTTATCATATTCAGATTGTAACTATGATTGAAATTTTGTATACATGTGGTCATGGTAATAATGAAATATACATTTTGAATTTATTACTTTTCTTCTGATCTGTTACTATCAATTTATAAAAATTTTATCATTTGACTTTTGAATGGACTTTTTCTTCAGGTGACAAAAAAATAATAGAAAAAAAAGAATAATAAATTACAAAGAAAATAAAATTCTTTTCAAACCCCTTCGCACCCTCCCATCCACTACCACGTGAGTGTTTGGTGGGATTTAAAATTAGGGGCGTGTTTGAACCTCATTATTTTTTAAGAATGTATTTTAGAATAGTAGATTGATGGAGAATGCATGGTTAAAAAATAAGTAAAAATTTTGATTTTGGAGGTAATATTATTTTATTGAAGAATATGTTGTTAAAATGATGATAAATCACTATTTAAGAATATATTTTTTCAAGATAACGCGGCTCAAATAAGGCTTAGATTTTTTAATAGATCGTAATAGAAGTTTTTGAAATATGTGGTTAAAAAGTTGTGGGACCTATGAAATATGTAATTGATATTTGATTGTTTGATTTTGATTTAGATTAAAATCAAATTTTAATTCGTAGAAAATTAGCTCTTAACGTTGAACTCAAAATTTTGCCGCTTCCAGGCCATCTCTTACTCCACATCTAAGTTACTTGCACAATAGATGGATAATTAGCACGGAACGCTTTTACCTTTCAATATTATTGTGCAAATGTCTTTATATTTCATTTTTTTGATATTTTCACTCTTATTTTTACATTTTATTGTTGAAAAGATTATTTTCATCCAATTTTTCAATTAAAAAATGTAAAATAACAAATATACCATCATATTTAAATAAACAAAAAAAAAAAGAAAGAATAATTAAAGAATAAATTGCAATTATACTTCTAAACTTTTTTAAAAACTGCATAAAGTCCAAATAAATTATTAAAAGAGCAATTAGCATATAACTCCATACCTTTCAATATTGTTGGGCAAAATATCCCCATCTTTCATTTTTTTGATATTTTCACCCTTATATTGCGAAAATCATCATTTTCATCAATTTCTAAATTAAAAGTTGTAAAATGACGAATATACTCTCCCATATAAATAAAATAAATAAATAAATAAAAAACAAATTGCAACTATAATACCAAAATTTTAAAAAAATACAAATAAATTTCAAATAATTTATTTGGAATCACTTGCTATTTTTTAAAACGTTTGGGAGCATAATTGCAATTTGTTCTTAATTTTTCTTTTCTTTCTTTCTTTTCTTGTTTGATTTAAATATGATGGTATATTTGTCATTTTACATTTTTTTTAATGAAAAATTGGATGAAATGACATTTTTCGCAACGAAAAGTGAAAATAAGGGATAAAAATATTAAAAAATAAAAGATATGAGCGTTTTGTACAAAAATATTGAAAGGTAAAGACATTCTATTCTAATTACCCAAAACCTCATATTGTACAATTGCAATAGCTCATGCTCTAGTCATCTCATGAGAGTTTTGGTGAGTTTTTGAGAAGTTTGTCTACCTTAGAACAAAAGTGGCCAATCTATATATAGAGAAGTACGAGGCAATACATGAGATATCACTGATCTTTTCGCCTAGGTTATCTTACGTTGGGCAGCTTTCACCCGAAGCCTTTTCCTCTCACGAGCATAACTTGTAAGAGGGTAAATAATTGTGTAGAGTCACATTTACCTCATTTGAGTAAAATAAAGTTTTGAATATTAATTTTTTGGATAATATGTGATTAAAAAGTAGAGAAAAATTGAACTTACATGCAAAATATTTTATTGTAGAAATATATATGGTTAAAAATAATATCTAGAAAAAAGAATTTTCAAAATAATAGTTGTCAAACATGAGCTCATATGGCAGAAGCCAATCAAGGGGATGGTTGTGCTGGGCAATTGATGGGGTGGATGAAATGAGGCCAAATTAGGCAATAAAATTTGGAGGTTTAACAAATTTTGGGCACGGAGGTAAACAAAGTAAAAAATTTAAAATTGGATGGCCTATTATAAAGTAATAGTATATGAAATTATAATTTACAAAAAGTAAACATTGGAATCATTTTATTATTATTATTATTTTTTTTTTTTTGGTTATAAAATACATCGCCCAGATGAATACACACGCTCTCTTGCATCTATTTTTCTTCGACAGGAAATTCCTTTCTTTTTTTTTTGTTCTAAAAAACATCGCCTGGATGAATTCACACACGCTCTCTTGCATCTATTTTTCTTCGATGGGAACCTGATGAATTCCTTGAGAGCATGACATCGTCAAAACTGAAATGCTTGCTTTCTGTTGACACGCTAAAAGTGCAGCCCAATTCGAATAGCCCAAAGAATGAAACCCAATTGGGCAGTTCAGGATAAATGCCCAAATATGGTTATTAATGAATGCAGTGGAAGCCCACGGACGCGGTAATACCATCGCCCAAACTTGCAAGACGCCCAAGATCTGAGCGAATGAAGTGCCTCGCAGTCGTTCAGAGTTATGACCCTGTTCTCGCCCAAACCTTCGAATCGCCCAAGATCTTAGCAAACATAAGATATTGTGGTTATCCAAAAGTGCAGTTATCGAAATAGTTATTGGGTAATCTTATCACGTTCCATAATTCAAAGAGTTCAGTTGAAGACGGTTGAACGACAAAGAGTAGTGGCAGCATTTAGATACGGCAGTTCCACGATAAGTTGGCCACCATGAAAAAAGTGGGCAGTTATAAAGCAATTAAGCAGTTTCTAAGCGGTTGATCACAAAGAGAGCATCAAGGTAATATAAAAGGAAGAAAAGATATAAAGCAATGGACCCCGAATCAAACACTCTCAAATAGAGAATATGTAATTTCAATTCCTTAGTTTAGACTTAAAACATTTCTTTTCAGTACTCGTGTGCTTGCGCCCCTTGGAGGCATTCTGTTTAAGTTCCAATTGTAAAGTCATCGCCAATAAAACACCCCATTTTGGGACTTTGTCTCAAGAGGTCTGTTCCTTACACAATCGTCTGATCCCCTTTTAATTGTTAGCGACAACCCGCACGAAACAATTTGGCACGCCCAGTGGGACCTGGGTGTTTGGTGTTAAAGATACAAGAGGTGGAACAATATGCCTCAAAAATTCGATAAGGAAGCAGCAAGTCAGGGAAGAGTCTAGTTTGTGATTGAGCGATATGAGGGGCAGCATAGCTCTCCACGAACAGATG